GCTGGCGGTGAGGGTTCGCTTCGGTGTTCTCTCTTCTTGTTAGGTCGGGAATTTGAGAGATGAGGTTCCGGTTGTCTGTGTCTCGATCTATTCCGGGAGAAAACTTTTGGGCTTGGCTTGATGTCGGCTTCGGTTTGAGATGGGATTCGCTAACTCTGCTCGAGAGCCGTGCGTCGACATCGTAACTGCAAAAGAGGAGTTCTTGTTAGCGCCGGTCATGGTAGATTAGGGTTCGTGTTTCCGGTCACCGTCAAGATGCAGATCTCTTCTCCGGTGGCTACTTGTTTTTAGGCTTTGTTATTTTGTAACCTAGTTTCTTATTAGGCCCATTAACCTAAAGCCTAGTTTTTAGGATGTTTAATATAATATTAATATTTAAAAAAAAAATTATATCCGAAAATTGTGAAATAAACTTATCATTGGGATTTCAAATTAATATTTTAATTTTCCCATTTTCTTGAGTTTGCAACAGGATATTGTTGTCACATGCACGTATCAGAAGAAATTTGATGTCCATATGAATTATTCTGAGCAGGAGAGATTGAATATTCACAATAAATAATAATGGGGTAACGTTGTCCCATGCCTACCGTGGACCATCTATTTCCGGCCGGTGTAAATTTTACAAACCCTTTCATCTTTTTTTTTTGATAAAAGAAATAAAATATTTAATTATATAGAGATTTACAGATGCGAATTCTGTAAATTATTATGAATTTGAGATTAATTTATTCAGTTAATTTGTATCTTTTTTTTCGAAAACTACAAACCTTTCATGGTTATGCACACAACTTAGCTGAATCAGGGTTATTTGTTGGTTAAAATTAAATGGTGAGTGCAATTTACTATATAACTATTTTTTTACATTATTATTATTATTTATTTATTTTTGTAAACCTTTCTTTTGTTTTTCGAAACAATTTTCTTATATATCAACGATTTAATTCATTATATTTTTTTGTTATTTTTCTGTTATCTGACTTGGACGTTGAAATACCGTCGGAAACATCCCACATCGTATTTTCCTGGCTTTGATGTAGTTGGTGTGACACATGAAACCCTGCTTCTAGTGAACAACTCGTATAACAAAAAATACCCGAACCAAATATTTGAATAAACTTATCGTATTAAAAACTAAAGAAAGTACCATTCAAGTTTATTTAAAAAAATCAAAAATCTACACTAAAAATCAAAACACAAATAATTCAAAAACCAAAAAAAAGAGAGACAAAAACCACATTAAAACTACTAACATCCATGATCTCTGTTCTGGTTTCTTTCTTAAATTTTATCAAACAAGAAAAAGAAATAAAATTTGTTTTTGTCATGCGAGGGATAAAAATTGAGAAAACTTTTTGTACGACGTCGTTTCACAAAATTCCTAATTTGCTCTTCCTCCTTTTCGCCAATCACACAATTGTCCACTGAATCCGGCTTTTCAACATTCGCAACATTTGAGTTCCCTGATTTGTGACTCTGAACTGTCGAATTTGTATTTCTCTCTAACAATTTACCGAGAAATCATCTGGGGAGTCCCCTTTTGCGAAACAGTAACCTCATATCTCCCCCTTATAAATAGAAATTATTATTGATTTAATTTTAATTCGAAAAGTGTTGGTTTTACCAGTATACCCCAACGAAATCTAAATATTACAACCAAAACCTGGATCTATTCGAACCAGACCCGAACCAGACTCGACCCACCCATAACCCGAAATCTCTTCTCTCGATTCTCTGAGTTTTAGTTTTTTTTTAAATCGAAAACTCAAACTCATATCTCCCCAATTCAAACCCTAACCGTTATCTCTTGCAACTTCTTCTCCTCTTCAAATCTCCGAAATCTCCCCAGAAACTGTAATTGAGAGATTGCGATCTCGATTGCGAAATCATCTTCACTTTATTGATTCATTTTCTCATTTCTTGTATCTCGTTTCGAAACCTCTCCGATAATGCCTCCAAAGAAAGGGTTAAAGAGGAAGAGAGTCACAAAGGCAACGACGGTGGAGTCATCCCCGACGGTGGAGCCATCCACCACAACGACGGTGGAGCCAGGCTCGACGGAGGAGCCATCCCCGATGGTGGAGAATAATCCAATTGAGGGAGAAGGAGTTGAAGAACAACAAGTCCCGGGAGATCTCCAAGTCCAGAGCTTAAGTCCGGTTATAGAAGATTCTGACAAGAATGAGGAAGAAGATTCTGAGAAGAATGAGGAAGAAGAGAACGAAGAAGAAGAGAACGAAGAAGAAGGGAATGAGGAAGGGAATGAAGAAGGAGAGGAGTCCTCCTCCGATGAGGGTAGTAGATCCTTAGGCGAAAAGTCCTCCTCCGATGAGAGTAAGGAGGATGAGATTGCAGTGGAAAATGCGCCGGAAAATCAGGCGGAAAATGTTATGGTAAGTATTTGAATAGTGTGAAACTGGTAGAACAGGGTAAAACTATGTGTATATCTGGGTACTACTAGTAGAACAGGGTAAAACTATTGTTTATTGGTATAACTGGTAGAACTGGGAATACTATGTGTTTGAATTCTGGGTATAACTGGTAATACTAGGGCATTACTATATGTTTGATTTCTGGGTAATACTGGTATTATTTGGGTATAACTATGTGTTTGAATTCCTGGTGAAACTGGTATTACTGGGGTACAACTATGTGTATATTTTCAGGGTAATACTGGTAATACTATTCGCAGAATAATGATATATGGATGAATGTTTGTTTTGTTGCAGGAGATCGACGAGGAAACAGAAGCAATACCACCGCTGAGTATGTATTTCCCGCCTTCGGAATATGTGAAGAAAATCAAGCTATCAACTCGGTGCTATATTCACGAAGTGTTGACTACATTCGATGAGTTGGAGCCTCCGATGAGCAAATCTGAGAGGACATTTTTTGAGAATCATCTGAGTTTCCAACACGTCTTCCACATGCCAAGAGACCCAAACCACCGACTTATGGGGATGTGGATGCTCCTTCTTCACACGGCGCGCATTGATAGGAAGAAAGAAGTGTGGTTCATCGTCAATGGCGTTCCAATCCGATATGGTATATCGGAACATGCATTGATATCGGGCTTCAATTGCAAGAATTATGCGCTTGATTATAAAAATGTGGGAAGTATGGAGTTCAAGACGAAGCATTTCAAGAATGTTCCTGTGAAACGCGAAGACGTGAGAAAGAAGCTCATAGAAATGGTACCGAAGGGTGAAAGATCTAAAGATAGGTTGAAGATGATGGTCCTCTATTTCCTAAGCAGCATTATTGTGGCGCCTATCAAGACCGGGGCAAAGGCACCTGAAGTGGATGAATTTTGTCTAAAGGTTGTGAATGATCTTGCGTTTTGTAAGAATTTTCAGTGGGGGAGGTATTCTTTCGAGTACATGTTAGAAACCATCTCACACACGATGGATCATTTTAATGGTGTTGTCACCGACAACGAGAAGTACATATGGCCGGTTCCGGGTTTCTGCCTTCCGATAGAGGTTAGTTACAAGATATAGTAATTGGTGATTGTTTGGAATACTGGTGATACTGGGAATACTATTTATTAGGAATACTGTTTATTATAGGAATACTGGTAGTACTGGTAATACTGCATATTAGAAAACTGGTAATACTGGTATTACTGTTGAATCTAAATATATGTTTTTTTATTCTGTAGCTTCTTGCATTCGAGGCAATCCCACTGTTGAGGGAAAAATTTATTGAGGACATTGCAGGAGCAGATGAGGGATGTCCTAGGATGTGCACGGTGAAGTTCAAGAAGAACAATTTGAAAGGCATTCCTCTAGATACTATTAATCATGAATTGGGTACAACTCAGGTTAGTTGTCCTATATATACTGTTTTATGAAATCGTTTACTATTCTACTTAATTATAATAATCTATATTTGTTTATGTTTATAGGTCATTGATTGTATCGTCACACCTAGAATTGAAGAGCACGCACTTATGAGAGCAATCACAGAAGAAGAACACGACGTTGACATGTCTGATCCGGTGGTTGAAAGTTGGTTGCAGCGTCATAAAGAGGGCCGTCTAATCAGGTTTGAAGAGCTGTACCAACATGATCAACAGGCCCGAGGAATCATCGCAAGACCAGAGATTGCGGGTGGTGAGGATATTCCCGCAGTAGATGGACAAGAACTCCCGAGTTTGGTTGCTGTGGTGGAGATGATTCAAGAATTGAAAGTTGGGATGACAGATCAGCTGAATGAAATCATAGTAATGATTTCAGAGTTGGATGATACAGTTACCTCGTTGGGTGAAAGAGTTAAATCGTTGGAAGCATTCAGGGAGGCGCAGAAAGCAGAGAAGAGAAAGGTACGATTTGTAATAACTAAGTAATACTGGTATAACTGAGTAATACTGGTATTACTGTGATATAACTTTGTTCAATTGCAGGATGAAGAATAGAAGAATGAAGAGAAAGATGGTGACCCGAAAGAGAAGAATCAAGAGAAGGATGGTGACCCGAAAGAGAAGAATCAAGAGAAGGATGGTGACCCGAAAGAGAAGAATCAAGAGAAAGATGGTGACCCGAAAGATCCTTCGGATGGTGGTCCTTCGAAAGTTGTGGATGCACAAGTCACCAAGATGAAGACTCGGAGCAAGAAATAGCTTGGTTGACTGATTTGTCTCTTTGATGTTTGGATTTGAACTTGGTTTTGTTATGTTAGGAATTGTATTTGGATTTGTTATGTTAGGATTTGAATTTGGATTTGTCCTGTTAGGGTTTTAATTTGGATTTGCTATGTTATGATTTGAATTTGGATTTGTTAAGTTAGTTTTATAAATTTATAACATAATCTACTGGTAATACGAGTAATACTAGTAATACTGGTAATGGTAATACTGGTAATACTCGTAATACTCGTAAAACTAGTAATACTAATTAAGAAGTACGGGTAAAACTAGTAATACTCATAATGGTTATAAGCTTACAAATCATAGAAAAGTCTTACAAATCATAGAAAAGTTTTACAAAACAATAAAGAAGCTTACACAAACCCATTAATTCCTCAATCACAACAATGTCTCCGCTAGATGAGCGACTAACTCCTTCAGTTTTTGGATCTCCTTACCATTTCCTTTCAACTCCGAATGCATTTCTTCTTGATAGTACTCCAAGCTTTGAATCTTTTTGTGATGGTTATCAACCTCCTCCCTTAACCTAGTGACCTCTTCTACCATAGCTTTATCCCAAAGTTTCCGAATGTGTAACCCATCATTCTACAAAACAAGAATTCTATATCGAGATCAATTATTCAACATACATCTGGGTAATACTAGTATAACTAGTAATACTACATAGATCTGAGTAATACTAGTGCAACTAGTAATACTACATGTTACGGGTAATACTAGTCTAACCAGTCATACTACATATATCTGGGTTCTCAGAGATCAACCAGTTCTACCAGTTTTACTTTCGCATCAATAATGATACTATCTATTTACCTTATACACGTTGCATTGATAGTATCTTTTCCCTTTGTCACCATCGTTCTCAGAGATCTTGTCGAGGATGCGTCCACCACAAGGACATCTCTTCGGAATTCCTTCCATCATTCCGACTTCTTCTAATTGATCATAAATCCTCTTAGCGTTCTTCATCCCATCATACCATGGGTCTCTCTCACACAATCGATCCATAAATGAAAAAGAGAGAAAGATTGAAGAGAAGGAATTTCGAGATAGAGAGAGAGAGAAGAGAAGTCTCGTTTTCTTGAGCTTGGAGAGAGAGAGAGTGAATTTCGAGATAGAGAGAGAGAGAAGAGAAGTCTCGATCGTGAATTAGAAGTGGAGAAAAAGAGAATTTGAGTTTTTTGTTTTTAGTGAAATTTAATTGATTTTGGGGGGAAAAATTGGAGGGAAAAAAAATTTGGGGGAGAAATTAGAATTTATGCCCACGTGTGTGCGCAATCAAATCCAAGTGTGCGAAGTCTTTTTGACATGTGCGCCGTTTTTTTTAACGTAGTTGTACCCTAGTTTTCAGTTGTACAAATTGTCCACATAGTTGTACTTTTGGCGTTTTCCAATTTAACCAGTATTACATATCCTTAAAGATGATTTGTCTAGTTGTACACTTGAGAGAATTCTATCATTATAGAATTCTAAAGGTTTAATGTAATCAAATGTTAACAATATATAAAATTGTAAAATATCAATCCTAAATTGGAGTTTATATCAAAAGTGAGCTTAAAAGTATAAGGAATATGTTGGATGTAGTCTAATAAAACAATCTTACATGAAAATATTTTTTTCCCTAACTTACTTCGTTTTAAATCATTTTTAAGAGTTCATTATCACTTAATAGTCTGTGTAATAGTTGGTGTTGAAAAAAATAGAAATATCAAATTTCATAATTTTCTTCAGCAGTTATACTAGTTATACCAGTATTACATAATTTCTTCAGTAGTTATACTAGTTATACCAGTGTTACCTAATTTCTTCATTCGTAATACCTGTTATACTAGTATTACCCTTATGCCAGTGAATTAAAACATAGTTTTACAAGAGGCAAATCTAGTGTTACATAGTTGTACAACGCAAATATGGTTTACAAATCATAAAGTTCAGATAAAATCAAATACTATGGTTGCCAAATAACAACCATTACAGCGATTGCCTCGGCCTCCTTTTGTTTTGAGTCCTTTGACGTTTTGGACGCCTTTCCCCGGTGGATGGAAACCTCAACACTTTTGTTCTACCCTTCTTCTTTTTCAGAGGCAGAGGTAATATACCTTCAACGCTTAGATGTCATCTGGGATATCCCACTATGACTTATCCGGAACTAAATAAATAGTCCTATAGTACGCCAATGCCCACATCTCCGCCCAATAATACTTTGAAACCAACTCATGTATTTCCATACTTCGAGTTCTTGTTGCATCGCTCTCGAAGGCAATGAAAGCGGCTAGTGCATGTACACAAGGATACTTTTGGATATCGAACACCTTGCAACTACAAGTTTTCAAGAGCAAGTTGACCAAATATTCTCTCCCTTCACTACCCCTGACATTGTGTTCAAGCTGGAATGTGTTTAGCTCTGTCACTTTTAGTTTCTCAGCGTCAATCCATAAATCGTGCAAGTAGTTCTCCACTAAAGGCACCAACTTATTATCATTAGATCCTGACGCGGCTTCTTTCCGATGTTCATTAAACCAAACAGAAATCTTGGACATGATCGCATCAAGCATGGGTATTAAAGAATACTTCCTTGGATTGAGGAAAACAGAATTCAAAGATTCCACACAGTTGCTTGTGTCCAAATTGTATCGCTCTCCTCTGAAACAACAACTAGCCCATTTTTCTTTCACGGTTGTATCCTCCAAATAATTGGCCGCAGAAGGATATCTTAGCTTAAAAATTTTGTACTCCCTCTCAAATTCAGCCATGGTGTAAACCCGACTTAACTCCATGAATTTCCATGTGACTACGTCTCTGTTGACGTTAGAGGCATGACCTTTCACATTTTGGGATAAATGCCAAATACAATACCCGTGATGAGCCGCAGAATACACATTACGTATGCCTTTGATGAGGGATGAATTTCTGTCACTCATAAATACCAATTCTGGAGTATCGGGTACAACTGTTAGCAGCTTCTCGAAGAACCATCCCCAACTAGCATCATTCTCACTGTCGAGTACGCCAACCGCTATGATATAATGATGACGATTTGGGTCTTGAGCTGAGGCAAATACTAGAACACCACCATATCCGTTCTTCAAATGTGTTGCATCCACAATTATCACTTTCTTCATCACTTGAAAGCCTTCAATGCTAGCTCCCAAAGCTATGAATAGGTACTGAAATTTATCTTCCGATCCTCATCCAATTTCAGATATGTTATTGTACCTTCATTTACTTTCTTCAACATGTACAAATAACAGTTGATATCCTTGTAGCTATCTTCCGCGCTACCTTTTAAATCACAAATGGCTTGCCTTTTCCCTCTCAATGCGGTGGAGTACGATATCTTCACACCTAATTTCATCTGAACAAGCTCCATGATAACCTTAGGAACTGGAGTTTCCATTTGTCCTGGAAAAGTATCATGAAGAAGAGCTGCTACTAATTCAGGGGTACCTTTCCTCTTCCTCATCCTTGTACTACTCTTACTTATCCGGGTACAAGTATGCATCTTGTTGTACTTTCTAATCGAGTAAATACTTGTATTCCGAATATTTGAAGCTCGTATAAGCCAAGCACAACTTTCTTTAGAACACCTTAGGACATACCGCTCCTTATCAGACTTTTTAATAACATAACCAAAACTGTTAGCAAATGCACCTTTGTCCACCACTTCCTGCAATGCCGCCCTGCTTGGAAATTTTTGTCGTAAAATCAGTCCAATACCGTCTTCCCATTCTTTTTTAAACTGACCAGGTTCTACAACGGGCGGTGGCTCAACGTATTCATCACCCCTATCATCACATCTATCCATAGATTCATCACGTGATCCAATCTCAAGATCTTGAGTATCATCAACCTCCATTATTGCCTCATTTGGTTCTGTTCCTTGTTCCTCGCATTCGCACAAAACGATGGCAGCACTATCTCTTATTTCATCCTCATTTGAATCCAATTCCGCATAGTTCTTACCAACATAACTTTTATTGAGGAGCTCCACTCTCGACAGTTGCTCGGGGAATTCTGGTGGAGTGATGACGTCCACATTCAAAACATATCTACGGTTATTTTCACCTGAAGATATATAGACACCTACATCCTCATCATCAGTAATGTAAATCTCTTCAATTGGTCCCAACAGCACTGCATTGTACCTCATTTGCAATTTAACCTTCCTTTCGTGCATATCCTACCTTCTAACATGGAGAGAGTTATTTCCCCCCTGATGTATTCATCATCAAGCTATACGTGCGACCTTTGCATTTAAAATATATGTACACGTTCTCCATCATTGTATCCTGCAAAAAAAATACAAAAACTCTGTCAGTTATACTAGTTGTACTACAATTCTGGGTAATACTAGTACAACTAGTCATACTACATGTATATGGGTAATACTAGTGTTACTGGTAATCTATACTAATATTTGGGAAGTACATCCTAAGAGTCATAACTTAGATTTTGTAAGAAATTACAATATATGCCATTAGAGATTTCTAATTATAATCATTTTATTCCATTTCACTAATATATATTAACGGGTCAAACGGGTTTAAAGATATTAAAAGATTTTGTTTATATAATACATAATTAATATAATTCGAGAATGTTATATACTAATCAATTCGAAAATGTAACACAATTATTAAAAATTCTATACTAATATACTAATATATTATTCGGAAATGTTATTGAAAATACTAGGTTATGAACCCCCGCGATATCGCGGGGGAACTCATTTTTAACAAATATATTTTATTTTGTTTATGTATTAACTTATTATGATGATATATTCAAATATTTGAATTTTACATAATATTAACTATGATTTAAAGTTATATCGTAAATATTTCCCAAAAATGTTAAAAAAATTTATAAATAAAAATGTAAAAAAGAAAAATTATGATTATAAACACTTTTGAAACATTTTTTATAAATATAAAATTATTTATAAGTGACAAAATATATAACAAAGCGTTATAATATAGAGAAGAAAAATTCTAGCGGGTCAAACCAAAAAGACATAAAAACTACAACCGAAAAAATAACCGTCAACGTAAAAAGCAACCGTCAATATTTTAACGAAGAGTTGCGATAAAAATACAAAACCGAGAAAAAATAACCGTCAATATTTCAATGGAAAGTTGCGATAAAAAAAGACAACCGAGAAAAAATAACCGTCAATATTTTAACGGAAAGTTGCGATAAAAACACATAACCAAAAAAATTAACTATCAATATTTTAACGGAAAGTTACGATAAAAAGACACATCCAACAAAATAACCATCAACAAAAATGTAACCGTAAATATTTTAACGAAAAGTTGCGATAAAAAGACACAACCGAGAAAAAATAACCGTCAATATTTTAACGGAAAGTTGCGATAAAAATACACAAACAAAAAAAGTAACCATCAATATTTTAACGGAAATTTACGATAAAAAGACACAACCAAAATAATAACCGTCAACGAAAAAACTAACCGTCAATATTTTAACGAAGAGTTGCGATAAAAAGACACAACCGAGAAAAAAAGAATTGTCGATATTTTAACGGAAACTTGCGATAAAAAGACACAAACGAATAAAAAAACCGTCAATATTTTAATGGAAAATTACGATAAAAAGATACAACCAAAAAAATAATTGTCAACAAAAAAACTAACCGTCAATATTTTATCGAAGAGTTGCGATAAAAAGACACAACCGAGAAAAAAAGCACTGTCGATATTTTAACGGAAACTTGCGATAAAAAGACACAAACGAATAAAGTAACCGTCAATATTTTAACGGAAAATTACGATAAAAAGATACAACCAAAAAAATAATTGTCAACAAAAAAAAATAAACGTCAATATTTTAACGAAGAGTTGCGTTAAAAAGATACAACCGAGAAAAAATAAGTGTCAATATTTTAACGGAAAATTGCGATAAAAAGACACAACCGAGAAAAAATAACCGTCAATATTTTAAGAGAAAGTTGCAAAAAAAAAACACAACCGAAAAAACATTACCGTCAATATTTTAACGGAAAGTTGTGATAAAAAGACAGAAACGAAACCGTCAATATTTTAACGGAAAGGTTCGAGAAAAAAACACAACCGAAAAATAACCGTCAACAAAAAGTAACCGTCAATATTTAACGAAGAGTTGCGATAAAAAGATACAACAGGAAAAAATAACCGTCAATATTTTAATGGAAAGTTGCGATATGAAGATTCAAGCGAGAAAAAATAACCGTAAATATTTAAACGAAAGGTTGCGATTAAAAGACGTAACCGTTCAGATGTACAAATGGTATTTATTAGATTGCTATTATATATAGATATTATTCAAAATGTTATATAGTAATCCATTATTCGAACATGTTATAAAAAAATGTTATTGAAAATGTTAATGAAAATGATACATCATTGAAAACATTTTATATCAATCCAATTTATAAAAAATGCTATTTTGAATTATAATACTCATATAGTTCAAAAATGTTATTGAAAATGTTATTCAAAATGTTATATCCTATACTATTATTTGGAAGGTACATCCTTAAGTCGTAACGTTAATTTTGTAAGAAATTATAATATATGCCATTAGAGATCTATAATCATAATCATTTTAATTTCATGTCACTAACATTAACAAATTAATTAAAAAACGGGTCAAATAACGAAAAAACGGGTTTAAAGATCTTAAAGATATTAGGTTGTTATATTTTGTTTAGATATGAATTCGTTTTCAAGCAATTCGTAATCATTGAGAATATATTCAGTTTCCCTAAAATCTTTGAGAATATATTCAATTTCCTTAAAACTCTTTATAAAAAAAAATAAGTTATAATAGTTGTTATATTCTAGATCGTTTTTTTGTTTGGTTTTACGTTTTTTGTTTAGGTTAATCACGCATCAATATAATCAGCTATTCAGTTTCCTTAAAATCTTTTCTAAAGATTGTCAAATCTCTTTGTTATATAATTTTGATCCTATATTCCAAATAATCTAGAATATACCTTTCTAAAATATTATCTAACTATTTTATGCTAATTAATATATTTCTGAATCTCCTAATTATCACAAAACAATCTACAACTATAAATATCCATTTAGGTTTGACGTAGCTTTCTCACATAAATCATCTCAGCACCATTCTCATATCCTACAATTAAAAATACAGCATAAATGGCTATGGTTAGTCGCTACACTCCTATTAACAACTTGAAGCCTGTCAAGACTTTTTGGTGTATTAAAGTTAATATACTTCATTCGTGGATTCATTTTACAAAAGGTTCTGGCATGTCTTTGGAAATGATTTTGACAGATGAGGCTGTAAGTACCATTGAAATTTTATACAATTCTCTTTGTAATATATGTGCCGTAAGTTTTTAAGTCATCTTATTTTAATTACAAGGTAACAAAATTCAAGTAAACATCAAAAAGGAACACATCAGCAAATTCCAAAGGTATGTTAAACCGTTTTTTTTTCTTTTTTTTTTAAACCATGAAACTGGGCCCCATAAACTCAATATAATCCATTAAAAACTTAGACCCAATACAACTATTTTTTTGTTTATTCACAATCACACAATAAAATTATCAATACCTAATTGAACCAAATAAATTGTTAATCTCATATAAAAATACAAATATAATGCTGCTAAATATATTAAATTCTAAAATACAATATTCTCTTCTTCTTTAGTCAAATAAAATATATAACATTATATTCAAATAGTAATAAATATAAAATATTATGATATATTCCCTTTTATATTATATTATTATACTATATTATTTCTTATTTCTTCGAACAAAATATACAATTAATTCATGAAAAATATTAAATCCCGTGCTGTATAGCACGGGTCATGATCTAGTACTACATATATATGGGTAACACTAGTGTAACTGGTAATACTACATATATGCGTAACACTAGTGTAACTAGTAATACTACATACATCGGGGTAATACTAGTGTAACTAGTCATACTACATGTAAATGAGTAATACTAGTGTAACTAGTCATACTACATATATATTTTTCAATAGAAACAGGTACATTTCTACCCAGTTCTACCAGTTGTACTTTCGCGACAAGAACTCAAATCGAATGGTTTCGGGTTCAAAACTACAATTCACTATGATTCAGTTGTTGTAATCCATTTCTTACCCATTTACAGACCTATTCGACCCAAAAACTATGCATAAACTTCCAATGTGCATACCCAAACACAATTACCCAAATCTAATTGAATTGAATCTCTTTGTCTAAATCCTAAACTTCTATTTCAAGCTCTATGCAGCTAAAGGAACTAACCTATCTCACCGCAGCTCGCCGGAAGCTCGCCAGAACGGAAGAAACGGCAACAATGCAGCTCGCCGGAGGTGGAGAACGAGCTCGAGAAGAGAGGAGCTCCCGTCGTTTTTTTTTTTTTTCTGGGTTTCGATTTTTTTTTTTTTTGGTTTAATTATAATTCAAATAAATCAATTACAATATACTAATAAATAAATAGAGGGTAAAATGGTCAAGCCAGATTTCATTAATGGAGAAAGGGATATGTAGACAAAAAAGGGATATAAGAGGTTTGGTGTTTCCCAAAAGGGAGTTATGAGATGATTTCTCCAATTTACCTTTGTGGGTTCTTTTTTTTTGGGGGTTAAGCTTTTGACATTCTCTAAAAAAATCTGTTTTTTCAAGGTTGTAACTGTTGAGGTATGTCACTATGAAGTCGAAAAAAGATAAGACTTTAGTTCCAAATATCTAATTAGCCTTATGAGATGATTTCTCCAATTTACCTTTGTGGGTTCTTTTTTTTTGGGGGTTAAGCTTTTGACATTCTCTAAAAAATCTGTTTTTTCAAGGTTGTAACTGTTGAGGTCTATCACTATGAAGTCGAAAAAAGATAAGACTTTAGTTCCAAATATATAATTAGCCTTATGAGATGATTTCTCCAATTTACCTTTGTGGGTTCTTTTTTTTTGGGGGTTAAGCTTTTGACATTCTCTAAAAAATCTGTTTTTTCAAGGTTGTAACTGTTGAGGTCTCTCACTATGAAGTCGAAAAAAGATAAGACTTTAGTTCCAAATATATAATTAGCCGTATGAGATGATTTCTCCAATTTACCTTTGTGGGTTCTTTTTTTTTGGGGGTTAAGCTTTTGACATTCTCTAAAAAATCTGTTTTTTCAAGGTTGTAACTGTTGAGGTCTGTCACTATGAAGTCGAAAAAAGATAAGACTTTAGT